TACACGTGTCCAGGCGCCAAACTTGGGCAGCGATGACCATATTTTGTGGATTAATTCTTTTTTTGCGTCAACACACACTTCGTCCAAATTTGCGCCAAAAAAAGTTGGACGAGAAAAGGTGAGCTCCACGTACATCATTGTCCCCAAATTTGCGCCAAAAAGATGTTCTCTGGTAATATTTCCAATTGGCAGCACTTTTAAGAATGTATGATCTAAGTCAATACCTGGCGTATTGTCGTTTGCACCAAATCCGGGGAGTTTTAACAAAACAAGGAGCTTTCTCCAAGAGTACATTCCAAAGTTTGACGAAGCCACTCTCTTCGCTAGAGAGCTTTGTGATGGCGGGGCAAACACCACCAGCCGGAAGTGATGAAGCAATCAAGGCAGCCATGCCTGATTACCTTGAAAGCAGAAAAGGAAGGCGGGATGGGCGATTCTTCTTGTGCCGACCATCCTGGGAGGCATTGCGCAAATGCTCGACTGTTGTATCCAGCTCCAAGGTCACAAATCCTTGTTTCAAGGAGTTACTAGAATCAGCAAACCTGACCTTGAGGACCCCAAATTACTCCACTGGACCACTGCTGTGTCACAGAGGCGTCAGCTTATTCTTGCGATCAAATGGGTCTCTCAAGTATACTGCCCAGTCTAGAGGTCAGAATGGTCAAGACTCAACGGAGCTGGCCACCATGTTCCAGAACGCATTCCAGCGGATTGAGGATGCGGGGGGGTCTGCTTTGACTTACGAGGGGCACATCAGCATGCTGTGCGAGCTCCAAAATCCTCCCAGTGGTGAGCGCCTGGTTTTCGAAGAGCTGGGCGCAATTGTGGCCTTCATTGAGTCTCTCTTGAGGAGTACAGTATGGCAGTCAGCGGGGAGCACATTGTCAGTCTACGAGCAGACAGACGCTGGGCCACAGAAAGTGCTAGTTTATTCAAACCAGCCGGAGAAGAAACATGCTGGGAAGAAGCGCGGGGCCCAAAAGAAAGACAATGAGGCTCCTGCAGGCAAGCGGTTTTCACCTAAGCAGCACGGTGTTGCTGACAGTGTAGATGTAGCAATGGACATTTGTTCTAAGTTGAGCACGGAGAACGCGGCGACGCTGAAGTTGCATGCAGAAGTAGAGAATAGAAGGCAGCAGTTGGAGGTGGAGAAAATACAGGCTGCAAGGGAAGGGCAGCAAGCTGCCATCAGAGCGCGCGAGGATCAAAGGCATTTTGCGCTCGAGTGCCTCAGGCGCAAGACCGAGGCATGTGCCAAGATGTGCGACCAACAGGAAGCTTTGAAGGGTAGACTCTTGACAATGCAGGAGGAGCGGGAGATTGCAGAGAGGATGGAGCAAAGACACATCCCCCCTGTAGCCCGTCAGTACTTGGACGGAGCAATGCAAGATACACAGGCAGGTAACCACAGCGTGTTAGTACACACATTTTAGTTGCAGTGCCTGGACATTTTACTGCGTTGGCAGACGTCCTCAACTGACATTTCTCGATTCATATGTCAAACTGATTGTTACAGTCAAAGCTGAGGATTGCCACACTGCAGGCGTAGAGAACATCTCACATAATTCCATCATTTGATGCAGGTAGCATTACCCCCTCAAAACAGGGTACAGTGTCTACTGGTTGCCCCCCCATCGGTGAGGAATCAACTGAAAGGAATGTTCTGGATAACAACAATGGTCCGTGGTCCCCAGTGCAATAAAATGGTTGGCAAGACTGCATTTAGAGAAAGTGGGATTACTGCTTTGTTAGCTGATACTGATGTGCAAACTCGACATGTAGTCCCATTCCCCGCAGGTTGAGGATGACAAGAGCTCGGCAAACGAAGGGTGGGAGAGCCATTGTCAGATCCAGGTTCAGAGCGAAGCGCCACCCCAGATCAACACCTTGGATGCAGAGGTCTTTGCGCTACGGTCCAAGAATACCGGGCCCAGGAATGCCAAGGTTTTCAGTTGCCCTGTGTGTCCACACCCAGGAACAGCAGTACATCCCGTCCACCATAACATCAGCGCAACACACAAGAAAAGAGTTCTTGATCACCTTAGGGTTTTCTATCCGGATAGGATCCACGAGTTGGCAGATGCATTGAAGCTCAGCAAGAGGCTGAAAAAGCAGTTTGGCATATAAATTAGACAAAAGGACGTTATCGCATCTCCTGAACATAGGCAACATCAAAAGGGAAGGCTCAAGGTACACGGAGCATTTGTTTTCGTCTCTTGGTGAGCAGATTCGAGTTTGCCTTGTATTCATGGGATGAGTAAAACAGCATGAGTTGCACGTTCTGCTTGTTTGACCGATACTTTGGTAGCCCCCCTTGACGGGGCTCGAGCAGGATCTCAAAGTCTGCCGTGAATGGTTTGCTCTTCTGAACAAGCACACAGCGTGAGTAATCAACCTTGTCAAGATAGCGGGCGGAGTTTGCTGCACCGCTTACCAAAAACAGAGCACGCTTGACAGGGTAGGTCCCATCAAACGCCCTGTTTATGAAGTGGCATGTGAGGTCCCCAAAAGGCGGATTCACAATCAAATATATCTGCTTGCGTGTAACCAGAGGCTGAAGAACGTTTTTGAGGAAGTCTATGCCCCCAAAAAATCGTTTGTCACTCTTGCATGGAAAGTCTGTCCCTCGCAGATCAGATGCAAAGCGATTGCGGCTCGTGAAGCATTCGTACAATCGCCCGCTACCAGCAGCTGGGTCCCACATCGACCAATCATGACTTTTCCCCCCGGTTGACTGTATGTCCCGCTCGACTATAGATGACATTGCCTTTGCAAGGCGTTCTGGTGTGTACCAGCTCTGTGTCAGGTATCGGTCATAAGTGTCCGGTGTCCACTTCAACCAGTGTGGATCATTCCTTTTTGGCCGCATTCGAATGGGGGACGGGATGTATGGCATCTACTCTAAAGGACATGGGCAAATATTTTGCAACCGCTTTGCTGCTCAGGGAATGTACACTGAGCGGCACAACCAGCCCTTGAGTAAAATAGTGTCTACGCCACTCTGTGCTTGAAGTTTATGCAGGTGTTAGTAGGAACATGTATGTCTTGTTCAAGAATCCAATTCGAATCGAAAACACTAAGAATTGTGCGATAACTCAGTGCACGGGGTGTCAACGCTCAGCCTGCTCGCATCATGGGAAGAAATCATCCGGATTGGGTGGACGGAATTGCCTTTGCTTGAGGAAGATGCTCCTTCGCACCATTGATGTCTCGATACGTCTCAAACCCACGCTCCCGGCAAAGGACGGTCTTTGCGCCGCCAGTCGTGTCATACACGCAGCGCGTCCCTGGCGAGAGCCGATT